TGAAAAGAAAAAAAAATGAGAATATTCATGTGGATCATTAAGAGAAATAATGATTACCTTTGATTCCTAGAGAAAGTTATTTTAAAATGCATCCAAGTTCCATTGCACAGCCAAAAATAAAAAAAAATTAAAAAAAAAACAAGAAAGGAAGGAAAACAAATCCTCGAAGCTGAGCCATGTCCTTAGGAGGCAGAAACAAGTCACCATCACTTGAGTCCAGAGAAGATGCTCATTCACAGTAATTGGGAGGAGGGAAGATTGTAGAGATTAACTGACCTTGGTTTAGGACACACACTGTTTCTTTACAAATGCAAATGATGCCTGGGGCCTACAAGACAAAATCTGTCTTTAATGCCAGTCTCTAAGAAAATGCATTAATAATAATAATAAAGGAAAACACCTATTGATTGTTTATGTTTTTACCGAAGTAGACGCTATAGCTATTTAAAACAAGTACTTAGGATCCAATTCTAATGGTAACTTTGAAGTCCCCGTGCCCTTTGAAAGAAAAATGGCGTAGATATCCGTGGTCCATATCAGGAAAGAAATAGAAATAAAACTTGATTGGTTTTATACGTAGGGTTCACTCATCAAAGGTACATCAACTCTACACCTGCAGATGCAGTCCTGCCTGGCTGGTTGAAAGTCGCACATAAAGGCAACAGCACAGGGATGACTCTTGTGACATCAGGGCTACATGCTGCCTTCCCAGGGCAGCGTGTGTGACCTTAGAGATCTGATCTGGGAGGACACACTTCCACTTGCTGAAGCTGTAGACTTAGCGTTTTCTCCTCCTTAATAAATGCCCACTCTTAGATATTTACTGGGTATGTACTGCGTCCAAGGTAAGGCTAGGAGCCTGTGGTATGTGAGGTTTTGTACTCCATTCCGAGCTCATTTCTAATATTTGCCAGGCCCCGTGCTAAAGGCGCAGGGATAAAGGTGAGGCGGTCCCATTATGCCCAGGCTGCTTCCCGTGTGTCATGCCCTGAACCATCTGCCTGAACACCTAATGCCTCAGCCTCACAGACTGCTTTCTAGGTCTGGGACACCATATTCTTTTGTTCTCCAGGTTCTTTCTGCAAATTTGTGTCCTGCGTTGAGTGCCCTTTCTTTGCGGCTGCCTGGAGTCCTTCTTCTTTTGAGACCAGCTCCAACCACACCTCCTGGTGATGCTCTGCTCACATAGCTCAGCCTCACTCGCATAGACCTCTCCTAAGGGCCCCTGTCACTCTGAATTATAACTGCTTACCTTGAAGTCTTCCAGCAGATCTGGGCTACCTGAGGGTACTGTCCGCTTCTGTCCCCAGTTCCTAGTCAGTTCAGGGCTGACCCAGAGGAACAGTGCTCAGCAAATGTTTCTTTGACCCAACTTAAGATTATTCTTACAGTTAATAAATCCTGGCCAGGTGGTGCTCACATGTAAAACTTGACACAAAGAGTTTGAACAGGGAGGATTTGTCCCTTAAGCATTATTAGTTTTGTTAAAAATTGTCCTTGTTTTTCGCTACCCTGAGGAAATAAATGGCATTGTAAAAATGAGACTGCACTTACTATCACCTAACCTATGGGCCACTTTTTAAAAAGTAATTTGGTCATTTGACATCATATATCTCCCAGTGAGAATGAGTAGAAATAACGTTCTTCTATTTTTTTCAAGTTCATCTTGCCCTTTATGTTTACGTTCATTTTATATTCTTTTCCATGCAGTTATTCATCATAATGGTTTATAGTAAATAAAACTCTCCCCCCCAAAAAAAAACCAACCAACCAAACAAAAACAACTTGCCACAGTTTTTGTGCCTTTGGGATATGGTGTGTGTGTGTGTGTGTGTGTGTGTTTCTTTTATGCTACAAACTGGTAGGAATCCTAGCCACATGCACTTTCATCCTATTCTTTAAGTTCAGCTGAAGTGGAAGAACAGAGATGGCAAATATTAATTGGTTTTTGAGGCTGCTGAGATTGTAAACCCCAATGAGAGAAATGATGGCATTTCACAGAGCTCTTAGGCAGAAAGATATGCCGAAAAGATTTATAGCTGCATTTATTTCTAAGGTGATTTCATGTCAAAGGTCAGGTGACATATATTCGTTGCTATGCTTCACTTACAGAGTTTCAGAATGGATTTTAAATTGAGGGAGTCTCCAGTTAACTCAGAAACATCACAGTGAATGTTAAGGAGGAGAGAGAGTCTCGACATAATAGAAAAGTTGGATGTCCAGTTCCCAAAATGTAGAAATGTGAAATGACCCCCTTACAGTAATTATAGAAAATAAGAGAGTATTAATGTTTTATAATCCATTTAATAAATGAATGAAATGCCAACACTAGTATAACCAGTGTACTTGCACGGAAGAAGATACCTTGTAAAAAAATACTCAGGGCTAATAAATGTCCATATTTGCTGAATTAAAGTTTTAAAAATCAGAACACCATCCTCTGGTTTGAAAATTTACCTCCTAACAAAACAGTCACTTTCCTGACCTGGTGATGAAGCCAGATTAATTGGGCTTTTTTTTTTCTTTAATTGCATTTTAAAATAAATGTCACTAGATTGATAACACTCTGCAGAGTTTTCAAATGTAGAAGAACATTCAGAAAAAGTTGCAGGCAGTGCTGCTCCCACCGCTGCCAGGCCCAGAGTGCGTGTCGAAGGCGGGTGCAGTGTATGGGGTGCGTTTTCCAGCCGTGAGGGGTTCTGCTCCGTCTCAGTCTGAACCTGCTTCTTCCCAACACCAACAAGCAGGCGTGGGTTTGCTCTGGAGAGGGCGCCTTTGCTGGCATGTTGGGGCCAAAACAGAAGTCTTACTAACACAGTCGTGTGGAAGTTCACTTTGAACCTCTAGGTTTTTCTTGCCTGTGTTGTCTCCCTGAAAACAACCGCCTAGAAACGGATTTGAACACATAACCTGAGGTTTTTCTTGCCTGTGTTGTCTCCCTGAAAACAACCGCCTAGAAACGGATTTGAACACATAACCTGAAGCTTCTTTCATGGTGCTTCCAGCTTTCCGGTCTGACTGTAACCCATTCAAGGTGGTACCCTCCCTTCTTGGAACAAACTTAACTTAGATTAGCTTCCACTCCCCATTGTTTTTAAGTAGCTATGTTAGATGTTTTTCAGTAATTTGTAAAGCCACCTCTAAATGGGCAGGAAAGGGAACACCTATTCAATATCCTTGAAACCAGACAATTCTAGCGAAAAAGTTTACTTCTAAATAGCACATCCTAAAAATATATATTTTTTACTGAAAGATTGACTGGGGACCACTTTCATCTTGCACCCTTTCAACCAAAAGGCATCAACTTCGAATGGAGCTAGCGAGAATTTTTAATGGATTGAGATTAAATCTACCATTTTTACCCAGGGAAAATTCCTTCTCATTTATTCTGAGGCAGTCTCCTGGAAAAGGACTATTTAAGTGATGAGCTGCAGTGTTTTGACAAGCATTTGTACTGCAAAAACTTGAAATCTCACTGGAATACAGTTATACAGTCACTGGGAGAAGAGAATGCCCTATTTAAGAACTAGGACAGATCGTGTTGATATGGAGAAAGGAAAGAACCCTGTGAACAATACGTCTGAAATTAAAGACTGAGTCGCTCGCATCCATCTAAAATCAACAGAAAATGTAATTACTCTTTGGAAGTACTCTTGTCTTAGAGTGCTAAATGGATTCAAAAGAGCAAGATATTGTTTGTACTTAGTATACCATTACAGGAACAAAGATGGGAGAAACATAGCAATGATCTGATACAAGTTCCATGTTAGCCACGTAGAAAAGAGACTAGTCACATCCTGAACCAATATTTCCCTTTCCCATGGTATGACGTGTCTCTCTCTCTCTCTCTCTGTCTCTCTCTCTCTCAATCCCTCTAGAGATAGGTCTCTCTATTTTATAAGCATAATAGGAGGTTTAGGTTTAGAGGAAATCAAAAGAAACCCTTTTATTCAAAGCCACCACATGCTTTTAATAACTTTACTCCATGTCTTCTACTGTTTATTTTCCCTCCGTTTGGAATACCCTGCCTCCAGCTGGACTTGCAAGTGTTGTTTTCCACTATGTTACAATATCGCTTAGGCTGAAGGAGGGAGGTAATAATACGACCACTAATATTCTTCCGTAGTGATATGTAAGCATCCATGGTGAATCAGTTAGTATTCTTACGGCAGTTGGCTCCATGTCCAATTCACACATTACACTATTCGCTGTGTTTTTAAAGCTATTAGTTTGAATACCCTTGATATTTATTGGTGATTCTTGGGTCTGGCTAACGTTGAAATGCATTTTTAGAGTCCTGTGCTCTTTTATTGGACCTTTCCCAGCTCTGTGAAATGACTGAAGTTGGTTCAGTGTTTCTCCAAGGCAGAACTAGGAGCCACAAATCATCTTCAACACATTATCAAGCTCAGCCAGCAAACCGCTTTTCATTTTTTTTTTTTGCTGCAAAGAACAAACCAAGACCATTTGGGATTTAAGGTGGTAGAGACATTCAGTGTTTTTTTGAATGAATACATCTCTAGGAAGGTAAACATTTCTTTGAATGTATTTAATAAAAATAAACCAGAACAAACATTTTTACTAGGCTTGTAAAATATCGCCCCTCTCTCCCTGTAGGTTTTCAAAATTGCCTTCTAAAACTAGACTGTGAAAAAATACATTTTAAAAATAATCTCCCACCATTGGTAGTTGTAAAGTAGAGTATGTATCAGAATGACCAGTGCTAATTCTGCCATAGTTGGCTACCTTTTCAGGAAAGACCAATGCATACATGCTCATACAGATGTTCTCCAGAAAACACACCAGCATGTGGCTTATTGCAGCTCCTTCTACCAAACTTAGTTAACAGACCATCCTTGAAAACACGTCTCTTCACATACATAGATGTACAGGCAATCATGCACAATTTTCATGGAAACATTTCTAATTCTCAGTAAAGACAAGAACACACAAATAAATAAAAATTGGATTTGTCTTACCTTTTGGAAAGCAGGCAAAAGCTATACTGTTGGTGGGATAGTGTACCAAGTAACAGACTTTTGTACACTCTTTCTTACTGGTGGTGTACAGTCTACAGGAAAAGTAAATATATAGGTATGTATAAAATAAATGCTCAAACAATACTCCTTCTCATTCTTTTGTTTTTTTTCTTTTGAGGAAGAGGCTGCAATAGAGACCATAGACATCATGGCCACTCTTTCAGTGGGGTCAGTAGCCTTTGGTAGACCAGTTCACCACAATTCAGGTACCTCTGAACATGGGAGTACTGGTGCCTCTTGGTTTAAGGCAGTTTGGCTTGACTTGCTTGAGGTGGAGCAGTTGAGAGAACCAGCCCCCCAAAAATTTATCTGTCTGGTCAGAGTTGTTTTCTTCCTGTCGCCATCCCTTTTATCCGCAGCCTATTCCAGGCATGCTGACCAGCCTGCATGGCTAGTCCAGGGGATGAAGCCAAGAACACAGTGTTGAGAATGCTAGGGCTCTAACGAATGAGGAAGCAGCACATAAACAAAACAAAACCTTAACAAATTTACACAGCACAGGCATGTGTTCCAGAATTTTCTAGACATGGTTAGTTGTGTAGGCTTAGATGTGCATATCCATTTTACAGCAGGTGTTTTCTGTGTACATTTTTAAATCAAATATCTTCTTGTATTGACAGCTCAACTATTTTATGTAATAATTACCTTCTTTGAGAATAGCACAAATTATATATTTTCTGACCATGCATACAAAAATGGTAGTAAAGAACAACAACATCGGAATACAAAGTGAGCCCTAGCTGGTTTGGCTCAGTGGATAGAGCGTCTGCCTGTGGATGGAAGGGTCTGGGTTTGATTCCAGTCAAGAACACATGCCAGGGTTGTGGGCTTGATCCCCAGTGGGGGGCATGCAGGAGGCAGCCAATCAATGATTCTCTCTCATCATTGATGTATTCTACCTCTCTCCCTCTCCAAAATCAATAAAAAATATATTTTTAAAAAAGAATACAGTTATATGTAATATATCTTCCTATAAATTTTCTATTTTAGGTGAAAATTCTTCTTCTAAAATGTGCTTCAAAAATAAAACTAAATGTGCTTCACCATACAATACGCTCATCGGTTTAAACTAGTCTTGTACATGGTGTATATGTCAAGCCTGTATCTCAGTGTCAAGTACTCAGTCATACACCCCCATATCCAGGAAGGGAGTGTCCACCTGCCTGACATGTCAAGTTACCACTGATCCCCCAGAGTAAGCTAACTCTGAACAGCCCAGGAGTTTCTCTGCACGGCTTGGGGTAATAGCTTAGAAATAGATGCTAGGTTAGCACTGTGGTCGGCAAACCACGGCTCGCGAGCCACATGAGGCTCTTTGGCCCCTTGACTGTGTCTCTTCCACAAAATACCACGTGCAGGCGCACACGAACAGTGTGATTGAAACTTTGTGGCCCATGCGCAGAAGTCGGTATTTTGTGGAAGAGCCGGTATTTTGTGGGAGAGCCGGTATTTTGTGGAAGAGCCACACTGAAGGGGCCAAAGAGCCACATGTGGCTCGCGAGCCGCAGTTTGCTGACCACTGGGTTAGCACAAAGGTAGCTTAGGGCTCCTTATCACTACCTTTACTAGGAGAGTATCTGACCAGGGGATAAGTCACATCTTCTGGTTCTGACCCATCCCGGTGAGAAGGCAGCAGGTCTTACCCACTCATCTCAATAAACTCACGCTGCCTCAGTTACTGTTACCATCCAACTAGCCAAGGGTCCTGGTGGCCATCGATAAGCCAAGTCCCAAGCACCATCAATTTGCCATGAACGTACATCTGCCAGGTCAGCAATAAAACGGTGCCCTGCCACATGGCAAATTCAGAATGCAGAAGCCAGCACCAGAGCTTGAGGTGCCCTGACTCTTGGTCAGGGATGTGGAGAAGGCATCATGGCAGCCAGGTCTAAAGCTTTCCAAATTAGGTCAGGCTCTTCTGATCCTCTAGCAACAGAAACCTTGTTTGCATAAATAAAAATTCAGGAAGTCACTGAGCTACACCCCTCTCCCCCCTGCTGTTCTGCAGTCAGTGCGGAAACCAGCAAGCCTCCCAATATCTAATGCTCCTAGTGAGCAGATGCTCTTTGTGTATTCCATCCAGAGAGAAGTTTATCTCTCAGACAGTGGCATGTTAACGGAAGAAGTAACCTAAGAGGAAAGAGTCAGGCTGTGCCAGGGCAGTTTTGATTTCTGCTCCCGGTGAGCCAGCGGATTTGGTTTTATGTGGACACATGGCTGCAGTGGCGTTGGATGGGCAGAAGCGCACATGCACCAGGTGGCGGCGGCAGGGATGGAGCAGAGCTGCTGGAAATGAAAACACTGAGGGTCGAAACACGTTGAGACTGTGTCCAGAACAACAATGAGGAAGGGGGGATTTCTGTTTCATTCTTCGCTTTGTTGCGCGTGCTGGAAACTGGACTTCTTCTGCGATACCCTCCCTCAGAGAATCGTGTGCAGAATTCCCCCTTTGGAAAGACACATTCCTTCTCCAAGTGCCCGGCCTGTGCTTTTGTTTTCTTCTAACCAGACAGCTTAATTTCAGGAAATTTTTTCTTTGTCTCTGTTACCAGAGCTCAGAAACTTGAGATTACCAGAGCTGTGTTTGGCATTTAGTGAAATATAGTAATAATGTTCCCTTGCACCAGAATAGTCTAGTTGTCTGCTTCATGAATTGAATTTTTCACTACCGCTCTTTCCCTTCACTGGTACATTTCTGCATTGCTCAGGGCTGGGTGTCCGAGTGTAATTGTAATTGTAACTGTAACTGTTTCCTTATCAGTGGTTCCTTCTGGATCATGTAAAATAACTATTCGTTTACACTTTGGTCTCGATCAAATGTTTCATTTCTTTAAGTGAACTTTGCTTCAGATCATCATCACTGTGAAAACTTGGGAAGGTATTTCCAATATGGGCTCAAACTGAGTGTCCTAGAATGAAATCTCAGCCTGTTAAGAGAATTTCTAGAGCCGTGTGTTGTCCGATATGATAGCCATAGCCACAGATGGCTGTTTAAATTTAAACTCTTTAAAGTGGAGCAAAGTTAAACGTGTCTTTCCTCATTATGTGGCCACATTTCAAGGGCTGAATAGCCACAGGTGGCTAGGACGTGTCCACCACCACACACAGTTCTGTTGGGCAGATTTTATCTGGTTAATGTCTTTAAATTCCTCTTTGGGACCTTTGAGAGCTGGGCCATCAGAAACCCCAATGTTTGGAGGTACATGAATTTCCTCCCATGGTTCAGCAAATATCTAGTCAAGTTCTTAATGGTGTTTAGGGAGTGTCTAGACCAGTGGTTCTCAACCTTCCTAAGGCCGTGACCCTTTCATACAGTTCCTCATGTTGTGGTGACCCCCAACCATAAAATTATTTTTGTGGCTACTTCATAACTGTAATTTTGCTACTGTTATGAATTGTAATGTAAATATCTGATATGCAGGATGTATTTTCATTGTTACAAATTGAACATAATTAAAGCATAGTGATTAATCACAAAAACAATATGTAATTATATATGTGTTTTCCCATGGTCTTAGGCGACCCCTGTGAAAGGGTCATTCGACCCCCAAAGGGGTCGTGACCCACAAGCTGAGAACCGCTGGTCTAGACAGACAAGTCCAAAAGAACTAAATCAATTTTTCAAAATCTTTTGGACTGATTAGGAGATAAAGGCTCTATTTGATTTATCTTTGTGTAGGCACCAAAACAACCATAATGACAAGAGTCAATAAAACCTTTTCAAGGGAGAGGCACCCAATGTATTCCAAATGGAATACTTACTGTGACTGATACAGCTAATAAGATATTTGGGTTTTGAGTTAGTAGGATGTGGCCTCTACCCGGGCAGCCTTCTTTGAGCGCACGTTAATCCTGTCTTTATAGACAACACTTCAAGCAATAATACATTTCACAGCACATTTAACTACAGAGTCTGCCACAATATATCATTATATTCTTTATATGCAAGTATTACCAACTGTGGAAGCCAAAAGAGTGAGTACTGTGCTGGAATTACAACATGCCACTCACCTCCCAAGAAACAGCAGCAAAGAGAAACAAGCATGGATTTGGGAGTCAGACCTGGGTTGCAGTCCCACCTATGCTGCTAACTAGATGTGTGACTTTGGTTATGTCCCTTAATCTTGCTAAGCTTAGGTTTCTTCAGTAAATGAGAATCATAACCCCATTCCACAGTTATTGGGAGGAGAAAGATAGTCCATAAACGAAATTATGCATAATGCCCATTTCAAAGGACAGTTGATGTATTATTATTAGTAGTAGTAATATTAGCAGTGTTGTTAGTATTAGCATTATCATACCCCAAACAGCTTCAATAGGGATAGAACCTAATCATTAAAAGTTAACAAAAACATGCCCTAACTGGTTTGGCTCAGTGGATAGAGCATCGGCCTGCAGACTGAAGGGTCCCAGGTTCGATTCCCGTCAAGGGCATATATATCTTGGTTGTGGGCACATCCCTAGTAGGGGGTGTGCAGGAGGCAGCTGATTGAGGTTTCTCTCTCTTTGATGTTTCTAATTCTCTATCCCTCTTCCTTCCACTCTGTAAAAAATCAATAAAATATATTTTTTTAAAAAAGTTAACAAAAACAGTAGCAACATTGTTTCAAGCTAATTATTTTTAAGTAGCATAGTAATGAATTAATTGTCCAAATTAAAAACTTCTAATTTGGTCATTTTTTTCAATACATTTAGAGTTTTGACTATATTTTCTGCTTATTGATTTTAGGCATATCTTGATATGTGTGTGTGTATGTGTGTGTGTGTACAGATATAAATGTAAATCTGTTATTGGGATGTCTCTAGGATAAGGGTTTTGTGAAATGCAAATTGACAAGGGGTTCTAGAATAAAACTCTATAGAGGTATAAATACGCAGCTATATTTATTAATACAAATATACATATAAACAGATGCATAGGTATGTTCATGGAAATATTTCTTTTTGTAAATTAGTTTTATCTACTTCCTGGTGTTCAGTTACCCTTTAACTGCACCAGCATATCTACATAATAACACACGCTGAAATGTACTTTCAGGCAAAGATTTTTGTCTTTCAGGAATGGAAGGAAATTAACACTATTTGCTCAACTATTTTCCAGATGCATGATATTTCATGACAGTTATGACATAGATATTAAGCTTTAAGAAAGCTCAGTGATTCTCAAAGTCACACAGCCAGTAAGTGAGTGGCTTGGATTTGAACCCAGGTCCGTCTCAGCCCGAAGCCTCTTCCTACATCACATTGAATACCACAGCGATCCGCCATCCACTTCTCTCCACTGACCATTTGCTCTGGAAACCCAAGGTCAGAGCCTGTTCATTCTGCCCATTCTGGTTCTCCCTTCTCTCAGGGTGATGTGTCTCCTTCCTCTTCCCTTGTCCCAGAACCTCTTCTATTGAAAAGTCAAAGGGAGGTCCACCATGTTGTTACTGAGCCTTTGCTATCTTCTCTATGAATTCTTAAAGTGTTGTACAATATTCACTCAACCAACCATTTAGAAATAGAGATGTGTCAGATCATGGATGTCTCTACAGTATTTGTCAGGATCACACTCCACTGCCTCCTGGTTTGTAAAGATCTCTCTCTTGCTGCAGACATATAGGATTGCTTCATCGTATTTAAACTAGGAATTATTTTTGCTTGGCAATAAGGCTTTGGATACAACAAAATCAGCTCATAACTGAAAAATAGACTGTCTCGAGTGACTGAATTCACAACCTGAATCCCCCTCCATTTTAAAAACAGGAAGTACCATGAACACTTGTTTCTACTTCATTCTATATGAAACTGATCAAAATATTTCTAGAAAACAAATTCTAGAAGTCTCCTTTTTAATTTGAAATTTACTATAACACCAGTATTGTAAAATTAGCAATTGGGAATTCTATGCATTTAACCTCTGGATACTTTTTTTATGCCTACCTTGTTTAGGTTTATTTTTAGGGGTAAACAAAGGCTACCCAGAGGTTACAGATATGTCATGTAGCATATCAAATCTGACATTTAATCCTTGATCCCACTCATGATATTTAGTTTTCATTGAATGGAACTCTCCTGCGGTGATGTGGTAGATGTCTTTCCCACCTGGGGATGCCATTCCCTTGTGGAGTCCGGGCCTATATACTTGGATGAAAGTTTTCCAATGTTTGTGTGTCTAGAAGGCTTGCTTAGTAAAGAATCATAGCTTTCTCCTCATTCATGTTCCAGTGGAAAGAAGTTATGATTCTAAAATTCTTAAATAGTCTAATTTCATTCCTACTGCTAGAGATCAATCTGGTGTTAAAAGTTTTCCTAAACAGGAAGTTGTTCCCCTAACAGGAAAGGTGCAACAGGGGTGTTTGTTGGGAAGGGTTGGGACCAGAGGACAAGAAGCAAGGGGCAGGGGAGGTTTCCCACTTGTGAGCTGTGCCTCCAACAGGGCGAAAAAAAGAAAAGGGTGTTGAGCATAAGGCAGGACTCTTAGGAGAAAATGTTAGCATTCCTCAAGGCAACCCAAGTCACTAAGACAAGAATGGTTCCAGCGCTTCTTCCGAGAAAGGCAAGCACACACCACATTCCCGAGAGCTTCCTGATGCAGCACAGGCAGATGCAAGGAAGGAAGAGGTACTTACTGTTTGGATCTACGTTTTCACAGAGTTCTGTCTTTGCCTCACCGTTGGGTCTGTCACTAGGTTTGTGTGACAGCCGTGATGACATGGTGGCTGCTGTGACTACTGCCTTGAAGCTTCGCTTCCGTTTCTGGACATTGAGTTCAGGGTGGAAAATGATGATGTACACTTTCGGCATGTATAGCATCCCCAGCGCCACTGACGCACTTAGGTTCATGGAGATTGTAAGCGTGGTGGTTTGTATGTAGAGCTAGGAGACACAACACACAAGACACTATTACAAATAAAATGACCGCAGAGGGAGTCTTAACACTTAACGTGATGTCAAGAATGACTATGGCTAGGAGAGATAGCATAGCAATCTCCAAGGCTTTCTGATAAAAAAAAAAAAAGCAAGACAGGATGACTCTGAACATTTATTGGAGAGTTTATGCATATTTTTATTTGAATTTTTATTGTTTGAATGTTTGGGAGAATCCATGTGCGTGCTTGCCCTGGAGAAGTCTCCTACATAGAATTTCAGAGTAGATCCAGCATCAGATTTGAAGTACTTTTAATCAAAATGGCAATTGAATATGAAGATGGGCAGATCATGGAAATCTGTAAAACCTTGCGTAAGGGAATTGGTTTTTATCCCCCATATCTACACAACATGATTAACTCTACATGACCTGTTGATACACAGACTCTGGGGCCTTGTTTAGAAAGTCCTTATGTCAATATATATCAATACGTGCACTTTGGGCATATATAGTTTTTCAAAGGGGTTCACCTTCACCATGCCTACAAAGTAGTGATTGAGTTTCCCTAGAGAGTAAGCCCTTCTTACTTAATTCTGATTTTAAAAATACCGATGGCAGGGGACCAAGATCTAGTTATGTTGTCTTGTCCAGTGTCTTTACACTGACCAATTGCTAATAGGTTGCAAGATCTCCTTCTGACATTATTTGTGGTTTGGACAGTGACCAGAGCTGCCCTTGTCTCCTTCTGCTTCCTTGGGAATTCAATCGAGCAACCACTCACTCACTGTTTGCTGTGTTCAATTCTTGTCTGGCCTCCATTCAAAAAGATGAAGGTGGAAGGGTGTAGGGAACTGTCAGATCAGCGAGAGAAAAACTATAGATGACTTGGTCCAGTTGTGTTTATAAAGTGCCCTGTCATGATCTAGAAGTGCCCCCGCAATACATTTAGGTATATTTGTGTATCTTACAAGACTTGTCAAAGCTAGATGAAATGTGAGGTGATGGATGTGTTAATTAGCTGGATTGTGGTAATTATTTTTCAATGGAGCTTAAGTCATCATGTTGCATACCTTAAATATCATGTTCTATAACCTAAATATATACATATTTAATTTGTCAATCATACCTCAATAGGCTAGATAAAAATAAACACCTTTAATTTGTCAATCATACCTCAATAGGCTAGATATATATAAAAAGATAGGTAGGCAGGTAAATCAATTAAAATTTTGTTTAAATAAAAGAGTGACTAGCTACCATAGCCTTCCATGTTAGTGGAAAGCCTAGTTCCTTGAGAACATATTGGTCATGATTTCCCGCAACTTTGCCTTTGCATTGATCTGAGGATAAAATCCCCATCTTTTTAAAAAATATATATTTTTATTGATTTCAGAGAAGAAAGGAGAGGAAGAGAGAGATAGAAACATCCATGATGAGAGGGAATCATGGATCGATTGCCTCCTGCACGCCCCCTATTGGGGATGGATCCTGCAACCCAAGCATGTGCCCTTGACAGGAATTGAACCTGGGACCCTTCAGGCCCCAGGCCAACACTCTATCCATTGAACCACACCAGCCAGGGCAAATCCCCATCTTTAATGGATTCTACAAGGCCACGAATCATCTGCCCCCTGTCTACTTTACTGACCAAATTTTCACCACTATCCCCACCTCCCTCTCCAGGGCACCATCTGAAGGGGCACTCCTTCAGGTCTTGAAGATGCTATGCTCACTCAACCACAGACCCTGCATACGTGCACAAATGCAGTTTTACTTTATTCTTGTTTTCATCTGTTAGGAACGTTCCTCCTCTGCTGCTTAGAGCATCCATCCAGGCTGCCTTCAGGTAGACCAGCTCCTTAACTCCCATGCCCTCAACAATATGTTTTCTTTACATCATTGGTTCCCATTTGTAATTAATACTCCCACTACCCTGATCACTTGACCATCTGTCTCCCCAACTAGGCCATAGCTCTAGGCCTGTGTCCATGGTGCAATTTGTATCTGCAGTGATGGCAAACAGTAGGCACTTAATAAATACATGATGAATGAGCTCATGTGTTTGTATGATAGACACCTTTTCCTACCTATGACTGAGTGGTCAAACAGCCTTTCTCTAAATATACTGCAGAATTTCCATGTCACCTACTGGCTGCCTGGACCTTTCTGATCTTAAAATAGAACCTAACAGATAGTAAGTACAGCCAGTCCTCAATGTTGTCAATAGGTTCTGCGACTAAGCAAAATGAAATAAAAGGAAACCAGTTTTACCATAGTCTAATTGATATACACATGAGTTGTGTTTGTATGATAGACACCTTTTCCTACCTATGACTGAGTGGTCAAACGCTATTATTTGAGGGCCTGCTGTACTATGAAAGTACTGTAAAATAAGTAGAAATATTGGAAGGATTCAGTCTAAAGGGATCTCAGAGGTATTGATCCACAGGGATCCACCCCCATTAAGCCCCAGGAGGGAAACTAAGTCACTGTTTCTTTGCTATTAATTGGGAGGCTCACTGTTAAGCTCTGAGTGTTCAGCCCAATGTTATAACAAAACAACATTGAGTGAAATGCTATTATTTGAGGGCCTGCTGTACTATGAAAGTACTGTAAAATAAGTAGAAATATTGGAAGGATTCAGTCTAAAGGGATCTCAGAGGTATTGATCCACAGGGATCCACCCCCATTAAGCCCCAGGAGGGAAACTAAGTCACTGTTTCTTTGCTATTAATTGGGAGGCTCACTGTTAAGCTCTGAGTGTTCAGCCCAGCGTCAACTCTAGTACATTCCTTTAGCAAGTTGCAACACATTTATTTTTAGTCTCAGCTGATCTGATGCTTACTGCAAAATGCTTAACTCTATTTCATCTTGGGTACTTCACATCCTTTTATTTAATCTTCCTTACTATTTCTTTAGCGATGTGAAGGCATTGGTGTCCATGGAGGAAAGTCTTCCCCACCATGGTCAGTCCCCAGTGGCCTAGGCTTGTGGGAGGGATGCCAGGTGCCTTGTAATTTCTGTGTGTTTTGATAATTAAACCTTAATTTTATCATCAACCCAAATGTTCCAGATCCAGCTTCTACTGCTTGGTTGAATGTGGCTTTCCTAATGTTCATCATGCATAATCCAGTTTATGCAACTAGCGAGCATTGAGGCAAGGGATTCAGAGCCCAGACAGCCAAGAGCTTTGCATAACATTCTTGAACAGTAGTTTTCCTAAAGTCTGATGCATGGAATGCATGCAAATATTTTCTTTGTCTCTCAGTTTCCTTATTTATAAAATGAAGATAATAATAGTTCCTACTTTATGGGGGTTTTGAAGATACAATTAATATATGACGAGTGGTTAGCAGAATGCCTCAGAAATAAGTACCCATGAAATGTCAGCTGCTAATATTTACTTCCTGGCTGATATTTATTTATTAGATTACTAGTAGCTCTGCGCACAAATCCATGCACGAGTAGCTCGCTGCTGCTTGCCTCAGCTGGCCACCCTGCCCACTGCCACCGGTAGCTCTCCGCCACTCATAGCTCGCCACCCTGCCCTCCTGTAGCTCTCCGCTCGCTGCCCTGCCCTCCTGTAGCTCTCCACTCGCTGTCCTGCCCTCCTGTAGCTCTCCACTCGCCACCCTGCCCTCCTGTAGCTCTCCGCTCGCTGCCCTGCCCTCCTGTAGCTCTCTGCCACTTGTAGATCAGTTGTGACGTTATGGTGTCCCAGCTAATTTACATATTCCTCTATTATATCAGATGGGAGTGTAGGTCTCAAGATAAGGCTTCTTCTGTACCTACTTTTATATATTTTTAACTTTTTACATATGTCTTACTGATTAACGAGGTTGTAATGTCTAAAACACCACACCTAATCACACCTTGTCTGACTAAAATGTAGCAGCACATAGACTATTAGAGTACATAGACAGTTGTGTACTTAATTCAGTGCCAGGCAGAGCCCACTTGAATCGGCTCCATGCATTTTCTCATCTTGGCCTAAAAGTTCATTGTCAGATATAATGTGAATTCATATGAGATCCCAGTGTCACTTTGTAAGTAGGTGTAGTTGAGTTTTCCTTGTCTAATTCTCAATTTCGAAGATACTAAAGAATTTGAACACTTGTTAGATAGTGCTCATGAACAAATGTTGAAATTTGCCAATTCTTCTGGGTAAGTTTCACAATCAGTTTATACTTGAATATTATTTTGAGAGATTTCAAGTCATGCTGGTAATAATTGTAATAATGACAAGTTTTAAACTTTGCAAAATAGAGTATTCTCACTATTGTCCAAAGAATAAAAGAAAAAGAAAGACAGTAAAGAAAAATTTACAAGGCCTATAGATAAATATAAAACTAGAACTATTAGGAAAAAACCCAGTTTTAGATTTTTAGGTTCATCAAAATAGTCTCATAATTTCTAATGATGTCCTTAATAAAAGGTATGCACTATAAGAAATTAACCAACAATATATTTATATTAATGAATTAACACCTTTAAATATATGAAATTAGCAAAATTCTGGGACTATTTGGTGGGGTCAAATCATTAATAAGAGAGTCCACCTGCTGTCCATTCCCTCTTAGTTATATTTTCAGACAGGCTATGTGAGACATACCATACTTTTCCACTATTTATGCTTTCATCCACTTATCCATTCAGAATTTTTATTGAGATACTGCTAAGTGACTGCATTGACCCAGGCTTCAGGCACAGCATTGTGAAGATGGTAGGCATGATTTGCTTTGAAAATGCAAAGTCATCCTGACAAGAATGATGTATTAGGGAACAATCTGAGTATAACACAAAGTTCATGTTTGCAAATATGTGATTTCTTCCCCAAGGAACACAGTCAACTGCACCCAGCTGAACCCAGCTGTGCGAGAATATATGAGATGCACACACACACCCATGCCTCAAACATCTGCCAGCTCCCCCCTTCGGCAATTTCACCATGAATCACAAGCAGCAATATGTTTGGCACCTGCTTCCATGAGCAAACATCAGGCTTTTT